AGTAGCACACAATAGACTACACATGTTAGGCCTTTACCATGTAAAAAACTTAACAAACCGGGTTTATTTGAATGCAACTTTACCAACTCCCACACTAAGTAAATACAGTAAGCATTAAAGGAAGCTGACGTTTCTGTGATAGTCTGTGATATCTTCAAACACAGCCACTGGATAAACAACAGATTTTAGAAAAGCGGTGATTTGATTTGACAATCAAAATGTGGGACATTGTCTCAATATGTGGGAGACGGGACAAGGGATGACACCTGGCACAAAAATACTGGTCATAATTGTACTTACTGCACACAAAACCATGAGAACAGACACATAATCACGATGACTTCTTTATTAACAGGCTACGGCAATCTTGGAGGTGGTGGAGGATATCAGCCAGGTGAGGATCACCACGTGTTTGTTCAATATATTCTGTTTTTGGAGTTAATAAAAAATGCACAATAATGGGTCAATATGGCACACACTTTATTTCAACTGTCCACAACACACTTTATACTTGGTGCAGTGTAACCGTTGATCTAGCCTGTCGTCCTGATCCTCCTCCTCCTCCTCCTCCTCCTCCTGTTCTTCCTCTGCTCATCAGTGAGGGATGAGTGTAATCACACAGCAGCAGCCTCCTCCCACTGCTCTACAGACACTGTACAGGCTACTCATTAAGACCCATGGCCCTAATCCTTCTGCCAGTGGGCACACAGATATCTCTGTGTGAAATGCTTCCACACATGCTTTAATAACCAGTACAGTTTGCCAAATGGAGAATTATTATTGGCAAATTAGGTCAATTTGTCATATTAAAGTTGTTACTATGTTGTTTATTTACAAATATTCTCGCTTTACACTCTCCATGGTTACTGCTTTTTCATTTTCCAGGTGCGGTTCCTGTGGTACCTGGTTATGGAGGAGGTTACGGAGGAGGTTACCCCCAACAGTACAACCAAGGTAAGAGTACTGTACAATGGAGATGATTAAACTTTCACTTTGCTGATGAGGATCTGACGGATAGATACAAAATACACCACACATTATATTTGTGTTGATGGTAAACAGCGTGCTGTGTTGTTCATCAGTCATAAATCAGTGGAAAAGAACAACAGAATAGAGCCACTAATGTTATAGAGGTGGAAACAAGAGAAGAAGACAGTAGTAGGATGTGTGTGTGTGAATATTTGATTCAGTTTAATGTTGTTTTGTTTTATGATCTGCTTTGTGAAAATAGGCTTTAGGTTTTTAAGCCCTTTTCATTCATAGATTGTCGTAACTGTTTTTCCTGCTTCTGGAAGCCAAACTTTAACTCTCAGATACGTTAGCTGGCATCCAAACTGCCTCCACGTAGACGAGGATTAAGAGAACAGACGATTCTTAAACTTTTCATCCTTGTTTCCGGATCAGGAGGCAGATTAATGCCCAGCTGCCAACAGCCAGGTAACACGGTGTGATGAAAGGACAGGAAAACTGACCCGTTGCCTTCCCCTTTAGAGCTGAGAGCATAAAGAAAGGGAGAGAAAACTTGTGCACAGTGACAGGAAATCTTACCTTGCCCCAATTTGTTAAGATTCTTCTCATCCGATTAAGGAAACCACTTGTTGAAAATTAGTTTAAGGCTCATTTGCCATTATGTTGTCCCCCTTCTCTCCTTCCCTTTATGCCAGACTAAACTCAATGCAACCCCAGCTTCTCCACATTTCCACTATGTGGGTTTCTGTGTGATCTCCTATTAAATATGTTGGGTAACCTCAATACTGTACATCTCACATTAAACTTGAAAAGTCCTGCGTTAGATTTGCTCATAAATACACATACATTTCTGATGACACAAATTTATTGACAAAAATACTTGATGTTCACTTGATTCCTTTGAGCAGAATGGAATTGAGGGTTTTTCAATTTTAACATTAATTAATTTATATTTAATTTCTCACATTCAGCTTGTTAACACACATGGGATGCTGACTTTGAATAATGGAATTTAATTGTATTTGAATGACGACGACCTGCATTTTTCTCCTCTGAGCACCCAATTACATTAGAGAGATTAATTGGATTATTATTATTGGACAATGAAACAAATTACAATAAAATGGATGTTTAATGCAATCTTTCTCCTACTTACAAAATACATCTGAAGAAAATTAAAGGTGTCAAAACTTACTTTATTTAATTTTCAGCAGCATACGTGAGCAAAACCTAAAAGTGTTTTCCCTCCATTAAGCTTTAACTATGATGACTAATCTGTGTCTTTTAAAGGCGAAATACAGACAAGAAAACATTACTTTGTGTGCAAGTCTGGTTACTTGAGAGAGCATCTCTGGATGAGACAGCTCAGCTTCAGCTCTAAGTGCCTCCCATGTGATCTACTCTAATGTCGACAGGTTTTCCCGCCAGGACACACATATATCAACCACTGTGACAGATCCATAGTTTCAATTTAGCATTAGTGCTAATGGCACCATCTCATCTCTTCATTTGTCTTCATCTTTAATGTTGTCTAGGTGGATATGTACCCGCCCCACTGACTCCTCAACAAGGTACCAAACCTCCTCACGTCTCTCCACGCACCCACACCACACCACATTATGAAGGGATAATAAGTCATCTCAGTCATACAAGAGTCCCCTGCACCTCAACCCGTTTTCCAATTTCTCTCTCTGTTCTTTGGCAGAGGATGGCAACATGTCAGATTATTTGGATGAGATTGGAAAAGGGTGGAATGTGGGTTGGTACTGTGTGTGCTTGTCGGTGCAGATGGCACGGCACAACCAGTATGAATACATACTAATCTGCGTTTTCCTGAACATCTGAGATTACTGCCAGCTGGATTATTTCAAGGAAAGCACGCCTGGTTTCTTAGATAACTACATTTTACTGGTTTGAACTCTTGCAGTGTCTGAGTTACTGATGACCTTACCTTTGATGATGTGTTTAAATGTAAAGAAAGTAAATGGTTTAATCTTGAATAGGATATCATCAATTCTCTCTGCCAAATGAATGATGGCTCAGTTTAAAGATAAATGAATTAAACTAATCCTGTTCATTTCAGATGTCACAGGGATACGAAATCTGTTGTTTCTCCATTAACAACCAGTTGGCCCTGACGTTATTGGCCTGTAAGATGTTTTTGTGAGCCAGTCAAACAGTCTGCAGTCTGGTTTATAACTGCCAGCAGTGCAAATTATGGACTGGAGTGATAATTGAACTTCACATCATAGGGAAGCCTTTGACTGTATGTCCCTTTCACGTCACAATTTGACTAATCTAATTCTGACTTGTAAAGTGTAATACAATTCCCAAATATAAATACAAAATAATCTTAACTCAAGCTACTTACTAGCTTCTTCAAACGTGTGAGTTGTTCTGTATCTGCCACCTTCGTCAATCATTTCATCCACAGCACCTGTGTTTGGTTCAGTGGTAGAGGAAGAGAGGTATCAGTAGGCCCATTGTCTTTAATGTGTAACAGCTTCTTTGAGAGGCTTGTAAGTGCAGTATATATATGATGGATGGATTGCTTCACTCAGCTTTACCAGCAGAGCACTAGAAGAGCTTTTTTGGTTAAAGTAAACAACACACATCTCACTGGCTGTTCCTGTTCCTGTTTTGCAGCTAAAGCAGCCAAGTACGGCCCATTGCAGGCTTTCCTCGGTGGTGCAGGAGGAGGAGGAGGAGGAGGCATCTACAGAGGTAAAAGACTTATATATTTGACCTTTTTTCTTACTCCAGAAGCCCACTACATCACAAATATTACAGATATGTGTGGGAACTTATGTCCAGCTTAGAAAAGACTTAATTGTAATTCTGCTGGTCTTCGCTGCAGGTGGCGTCGCGGGATGCCAGGGCAAATACTGTGGGAGGAGGAAGTAGAGGATCTCTTGAAATCCAGAGTGACCTCGAGAAACCATGGTGCTACTGCATGATCTAGAATGTACATTTTATATGCAAACAAACCCCATTAGAAATTATGTAAAGATGGGTTTTTTTTTTTACTTACTTGACTTCAATGTCTGTTTTTATACAAACCTACAAACCCACCGACCCCGAATTTATTCTGACGTGACGTATGTTATTGATGGTGCCATTAACCATTAATGTGGTCAAGTTAATCAGCTTTAACTCCCAGTACTGCACCAGCCTACTCACAATTCAAAGAGTGTGTTTGTGTCACATGTTGTTGTTCTTGTGCATAAATGTGTGTGTGTGTGTGTGTGTGTGGGTGTTTGTGTGTGTGTGCATATTGGTTGTATTGTTGTGCGAAAGACTGTCTGAACCATCGGCTGGCAATGTGACCTATGAATGATTTCCCTTACGGTTTTAATCCTAAAGCAAGGTGAACTGTCCGCTGTGTTACAGTCCTCACTGTCTCACCTCGCTGTGCAGAGCTTGTCACCTCTCTGACACGACACAAGGGTTGGGTCGGTCCGGGCTCGTCCAAAAACTGATGAAATCTGGCCAATCTCAGCATCGTTTCTGGCTCCCTGTCTTCTCCGCTGCTATTTTTAGACCTGCTGGGTATAAAGCAGCGGGAATTGGGGCTCTGACCAACCCATCTGCTCTCAGTAACTTTGCTGATTCTGGTTGCTATGCAGTTCAGTTTTCTCAGCATTTTTAGTGTTGCCAGACTTGTGATGTATGAAGAGCAGTTTCTGCTCTGAGGAAGGGTATGCTGAAGACAATCAAAAAAGTGTTTGATTCATTATGGGATGTTTGAAAAAAGGGAAAGGAGTGTTGCCTTTTAGCTCCAAGTAGATTCAAATGTATTTCAGATACTGTGGCATGTACATTGTGTATGTATGAATGTTTGATGATGTGTCACTGTCCTAAAGTCTGGGATAGAGCGCTTTAGTCTGCTTCAAATGTTTAGTCTCATTGCAGCAGCTATTTACATTTATGTAACTTGTGATTATTCAAGACTTTTTGCACCATGCTTTGACTCATAGCTTTATTGTTATCAGGAACGTGTGAACATAAAACAAAAACTTTCCTTCTGCATTTATTCACTGTTTAGAATTGTAATACAGAATAAGACTTTGTTTAATGGCTGTGTTTATGTGAGGCACAAGCTCCCATTGTTCTTCATTTACTTGAGCTGCTTTTAAAAATGGCTTACTGACCAAAGGTTCATGAGCGCTGTTGCCAAGTGACCCCATCTCTTTCTGTAATTGTGTACTGTATGTTGTACTAATTTGATGTTAGCTGGCTTCAGTTCCTCCACTCTGTGCTGAGTAAGGAATGTCCGTGAGCCTCGCTGGGTCAGACCTTGTCTTATGTGCCGTGGGATACTCTTCATCTTTATTTAAAACTGTTTTTATAAGGAGGAACAGTGTGGTTTTGCACTTTTTATATTTCCACGACACACATGTGACTTGTTCCCGGATATCCCGGCATTTTTATTTGCTTCATTAAATAACAAAATAAAATGTGTTAAAAGAATTTGTGTCTTTCTGTGTTATTTTTTCTCTTTAAGTGCATTCCACAGCAGCAGCAGCAGCTTGTGCTGTGAGTTGATCAAAACCACCTGGACTAGGGTGTCCTGGTGGATCAGTTTGCCACATACCACATAGTGATGATGTCTCAGGCTCAAGTCCTGACTACTTTTGGTACATTTGGGACCTTTGCTACATTTCAGTTCTGCCAAATCTTTATTGTCTCTCCCTTTGGGCAAAATTAATCAGACTTAGTGTTTTTTTAAAATCTGGTATGTGTGATTTGGCTGAGCTCTTCATTGTGATGACAACAAACCCAGATTAAGGGCAGACATTTCGCCTCAGTGGTGACTACAAACTGTGTTCTTGTTGTGCCAGCTGGAAATAATGAACTCATGTTGCTGTTCTCTGAAGATCTCCTGGGAGAACTATTGACCCATGATCTGCGTCCTGTAGAAGTAGCTCACACTGTTGTTTACGACCTTTAGTCTAATAATGTCGGACAGTGTCACTGTGGAACTGCAGTATAATGCTACGTTTCTCTCTTGGTATACATACAGTATATTTCAATAAAACTACCTTTCACAAACATTTCCACCTAGACCAAAGGAGATGTCTGACATGCTGTAATTATAAAAAGTCACCACCAGAAGGTAACTTGGTACCAATTATTGGGAACATAGACAGTTCTGGGAGTGACTGTCCTCTGACTGCGTGTTGTGTTTAAATATTGATTTCAAGACCCAAATAAATGTTTATACATAATTACAATTTTAACTTATTCCTCCATATTTGTTGCATTGTGTGTCTGAATGTAGAAAATCTCACATTTTCAGCTGACCAGCCTTGCACTTAAAGATTCAACTACTTAACTCTTCAGCTACTCCATCACACTGCATCATCATTTCCACTGCAGCTGAAATTTTACTGCTTGAAGTACACATGAACTGACATTTCAACTGCTTTCATCTCACACTTTTCAGCTCCTTTTATAACTATTCTTTAACATTTTAACTGCTTTTATATCTACTTTTTAACACTTCTACCACGTTTTCTCTTTCGCTCTATCAAAATCATCTGCTTTCATATCTTAACCTAGAAGAAATGTCGCCTTTTCTAGCTGAAACTGACACAGCCGGAATATAAATGAGACTAAACTATGAGTTATTTTGTAATTACTGAATCCACCGTGGGGTCTACTGCCGCCTCCCTCCTAACCCCTCCCCCGAAGAAACGCATTCATTAACCGGGGAGTGCTGCTGGTTGGCCGACCGTCTCTTCCTCTCCCCGGCTCAGCAGCCTCATTGGTCAACAGCTCTCTTGAATGAAGCGCCGCAGAAACGTGCAGGCAGGAGGAAGCTGTGAGGGCCGCCGCAGGGAGCGACCGACGCACAGCAACACGACTGCCGGGGCAGGCTGCGGTGGTGGTCGGACACCGGTTATCTGTCGACCAGAGGCGGCTGGCTCTCTCCCGGAGCTCGGTGTCGGAGAGTGAATGAGGTTGATGCTGCTCTGCTGCACCTGGAAGGACGAACGCATGGGAGAGGAGGAAGGTAAGGAGCCTGCTGGGTGTGAGGAAGCCGCTGGCTGCATGCGGCTGGGCGGGAGATGCAGAGGCAGCAGATGCTCCAAACACAAGAGGATGCTCCACCGAAAGCGGCTGTAAACAGCATGCTCTGCGCTTGGGTTTCCTACTTTGGGTGTGCATTTTATTGTCAGGCATGCAGCAGACAACAGTGTGGCATCGGTGTATCTGCAGGGAGCGTCAGGCTGGATGTCCATATTGTGCTGCAACTGAAGCCATATTTTCTCTCCGAGTTGATGCACCCGTTATGTTTGGATGCAGTGTTCACCCCCGAGGCCATGCACAGGGCTCATTTGCAAGCAATCTTCTAAGATAGCCAAATATATTATGCTTATAGACAGGTTGTTACATTAATAAGATAAAATGAAGACTCTGCAGGGTGATTCGTGCAAAATAACACCAATAATAAGGTGCAACATAATCTAAAGGTCCTACAAAGTTGAACATTATTAGGGGGCATTTTCTTGATCTGCAGCTGCACTTCTAATAATTTAAATCCTCCCAACTTTCCTCCTCTATATGATTGTGTATGGCTGGTATAGATTTAATAATAGCAATCAGTAGATAACAGCTTTTTACTTTATTCTAGTTTGTTGAAAGGAACATTAAATGAAGAAATCAACCTCCCTTACAGCACAGTGAGAGATAAATGAGGGAGGGAATCAATAAAATAATCACAGTCATGCCACGCAATCTAATGCTTGTTTTTGTTTTTGTAGATTAATCTCTAATCTTCCTTGTAAATTACTTTATTATTTTACTTTTCCGGGACTTTAAAACAAGGAAATATGTAGATGTTGTTTATAAAGGTTGAGAACAGTAGCTGTAGGACAAGCTTTGGTTGAAAACATTGTTTATCATTGTGTAATACTTCTGAGCTGTGATGTTACTGTGTGTACATGTAGAGATACTGTACGCTCCGTGTGATTATCCTGCTGCTGATCAGTACAACAACTGTAGTCGAACTTAACAACAGACCTTTTAAGTGATGACTCACTTTGCATTGCAGTGGATTTGGCTCATCTGTAGGAGGAACTGCTGCAATCTTCTGTGAGGAATGAGTTGGGAGTGGTGAGGCGGTCGGTCCTGTACCTGCTCAGGTTATGAACTGTGTGTTTGTGGGCCTTTTATTGAGGTATTAGTGTCCCCTCTGAGACCTCTGCAGACAGCAGAGTTCAAGAGGACACTCCAGTGTCGGGGGAGAGAAATGCTCCATAATAAAAAAAATGAGTTGAAGTGAGAGGAGAGGAAAGGTATCAGCACAAATCAGACCTGACTAGGACCCAATATGATCAATAAAACTACTACAGCAGGGCGGCTCGTTCAGGCTTTACAGTAATGAGCCGACCGCACTAAACCTCTGCCAACACAGCTTTCAAATCCGAATTTGAAAGCTGAAACGAATAATGAGAGCCGCAACGGTACCTTCTCTTGTGATACAACCTCAACAGACTGGTTATACACCGTTGCCGATATCCAGATGTTGTGCTGCAGGAGGCAGAGGTGACTTTGTTGGAACTGATTTAACTTGACTTGTTTTGTATTTGAGTTGATGACAAGCAGGTGAATGTTACTGTAAATGTAATAAGTTCAATATGTGATCGATTGGTATGTTTTACTTCTCAGTTACAGATTTATCGCCAATAATAACGACCCCATTGTTATTGTGGTTAATGCGTTGTCATAGTAACCTGACTGATGTTTACCAGAGCTGTTCAGATGTTGAAAGTTTCATTCTGTTGAAATAAAATCTGGTTTTATGTTTAAAAAGGTGACAACGTGCAGTTACTGTTACTCTAATGTGACAAAGGGGCTTTTATTTTTAAAGAGCACAGCAGGTTCAGGATCTCAGGCAGTTTGAGAACTTGTAGACGTTTCCAGGTTTCATGAATTCGAGAACAAGAAACTCAGCAGTCCTGCTGACATCAAACAAACGCACATTTGCGAACAGAAAAAAGGATCACCAACTGGCCGCCGGGTTTATATTTGTCTTTACATCTCGATGCCTCATCCCCTCCTGTTCAGGATGTGAAGGGCTTGTGATGTATTCTCAGGCAAATGAGCTACAGCATCAAATATATCTGTGGTATCTAGCCGTCACTTCGTCCTTTCCAATGAACAGATTTACATAAGCAGAAAACACACACACACACATACACACACACACACACACACACTGCTGCTCTCACTTTAATGCATTACAGAATTAGTTGTTCCAACTCTACGAAATAGCTTTTTACTGTAATTACCATTTTCCTCATTAGAGAATGAGAGGATCATCTTCTGCAAACAGTTCTTATCAAACTCTGTTCAAGTTGAAGGAGAAACTTATCTATTTAAAACAAATGTTTCTGTGTTTCTTCAAAAGAAGTGGAAGTGTGTTGTTGGCACTTTTGAGCATAACTGTTAAATATGAAAGTTTAAAGAAAACTTTTCTGGCTCCATTGACACCAAAATCTCTTTAAAACCTTCCTGTAATATTACTGCACTCTGTGGTACCTAAAAACTGTTTTATTATATATTACTTATTAATTTTTATTGAAAAAAACTATTAAAAACATGATGACTTATTGGGGTCTGTACCAAACAAACATGTTTTCTTACATCTGGAGAACAAGATTTGTACTTCAGGGCATCTCTACAGCACTACAGTACTGTAATATAATGCATTTCTTATATATTATATACATATTTTATCTTTTCAATAATATTTCGATTAATTGTGCAGCCCTGGTAGCAGATAAAAAAATAACTATTACATCTTACTTTGACTAGAATTTAGACTTGAACTATTTAGTTCAGTGGTCGTTAGCCAAAACGTCACTAGATTCATTAATAAAAGTGAAATAGTGTAAATGTTTACACTAATTCACTAAATATCACGATGTGATACGAAATACTGAAGGGTTTCCATCGAGCGTTGTGATGTAACAAATCAGTTGTTACACCCTGCTGAGTAATACTCTCATTAAAACTGCCAGTCGGCTGTCTGTGGTGGTGATGATGAAGAGCCTCTGTGATGTGTGTTTGATATCTGGAGCTTCAGTGAGTGTTATTAACCAGCGGTGGTGATTTGCATTGGAGGCGATACGATGACGGAGATAACAGTCTCATGCAAACACACATCAGTAAATTATTACATCTCATCAAAGAACTTTTATTGGTTTTATGCATAATGAGCTATAAAGTGGTGGGTGTCAGTGCAGCCTTTGACCTTGTGTGTTACTGTTGTTGCAGCTGGAGGAAGTTTGCCCGTCTGTGCGGGATGCAAACAGCGGATCTACGATGACCAGTACCTCCAGGCCCTCAACACTGACTGGCACACTGTCTGCTTCAGGTATGTTCAACACAAACTCACCACGCCCAACACGTTAACAAAAACTTCACGAGTTCACGTCTGTAAAGGGTGGCGCTGGAGTGGATGAATGAATGCATGAGTGTATTTCATCCCCCATCTCTCTCTCCCCTCTTTTCCTGTCATGTTTCTACTGTCAGCGGTCCAATAAAGGTATCAAATTACATTTGATTGGACTCTGTTTTGGTAATCGATAAATAATCCCATTCATTTTTCCAATCAATCAACAATTGCTGACTTTAGCTTCTCAAATGTGAGGATTTTATGCATTCCTTGTCCTAGATGATAGTCAATGGAATAACTACTGCTTTTAGACTGTTGGACAAGCAAGATTTTTTTTATTATTTTCAGACTGTAAAATAATCTGCACATTAAATATTAAATATCTCCTCCAGGCCTATATTAAGACGTATATACATATAAATATATAAATCATCTGCTTGGAACAATAATGTGTGTCTGCAATGTTCCAATTTTACACAAAAAAAGTATAATTTTTCTTATTAAAAGTCCTTCTACCTCATTAGAAGTTACATAATCTATGAATATGCAAATCTTGTTGTCCCTGTTGGACACAAGATGTCTCCTACGTCACTGTAGTCTATTCTCAGTGTTTGAGCACTGGTGGCTTCTAGTTTCTACATCACACTTATAAACTGCATACTACACCAGGATTGACTAGTTGTGATGTCACAAATCATGCTCGTAGGCCCCATCCCTTAAACAGAGAAACTTTCCACTTCCAGCAGATGAATTTGAAAACATCCTTCTAGTG